CTTATCCTTACTCAAAGTCATGTATGGTGAGCAGCCTCTCCAACTCTGTTTTGCTACAAAATGTACTCCAACACCACAGGGTGTTGCTACAGCACCAGTTACCATGGTGACAGACGTCTGGTCCAGATCATTGACCTTATTTGTTTGGAGAAGGAGAAGAATAGGAACTGAGCAAAAACAGTATGTTTAAATTTCTTCTTCAAAGGTGGGAATTGGCCCATTGGAAACTGCAAATTTTCTGTCAGCCATGGCCTTAACTCGCTACTAACATCTCATCATTAAGTCCCTGCAAAATAGATTAATTTACAGTATGACTATTCCTACCTGCAGTGCACGATGGTTGGTCCAGCCTCCAGTGGTGTGAGAGCCTTGACCCGGCGTATGAAGGCCAGCAGCTGAGTTGGGTGGTCGGGAACGTCGTGGTCCAGCCAGTTGGTGAAGTGGAACTGCTTTATCTGTCGCTTCTCTTCTTCTCCCTTCTGAAAAAGGTAAGTTTTCTTTTGTGTTGTATTTATTCTTAAATCGCACATAAAGAAATGGAACTGCTTGTGTAATTATTTGTCTCTTCTCTTCTGCTCCCTCCTGAAAAGAGTAAGTTTTCAGTTACTATGTTGATGAAGGTTAGACATCCAGGTAATGAGACACATGAGTTTAGTATTTATTAAGTCTGTAATTACCTCGTGCAACACATCACACCGCAGCAAAATGCACTGAATGTGGAAGTAACAGGGTGCCACCGCAAAGCAAAAACATGAAGGGTCTATGACCTGATTAAGACATCAAATTATTTGAAAATATTGTGTAAAAAAATGCCAGTAGGACAATGGTTAAGAATATGTGTCTAGTCTAAGAGTTTCATTGCATGAAGACTGTACCTTTGTCATGACAAAGTTGCGAATGGTGTAGTCGGACAGTTCCTCCGCACTCTTCACCTTCACAGTGATGTCTCCATACGTGTCCTCCTGATCGGGCCAGTACTGCTTGCACTTTTGCTGGAGAACACAAAGGCGCAAACTTACACAATCCGAGAGGCAGTCTTAGGATAGCCTGGTTACCAGACCTATGTTTACCAGTATTTGGAGAAAGGATGTAGACTAGGGAGCTAAAATAGGTCTGGTAACCAGGTTAGTCATAGGATCTTAGATTTAGAGATTTAGGAAACCTGTATCTTACTTAGTATCTTGGATGCCACATGAAGTCCCACCTTCACATGGCCTAGCCTAACAAACTAGTGCTCTGTTCATTCTTTCTCAAATACATATTTCATAAACTAGTATATGGTGGTGACTAGCTCCTTGAGCTCTGTCTTGCAGCTTGCTACATAATGTTACCTAACACCACAGGGTGTCTGCTACAGCACCAGCTATCATGGTGGCAGACATCTGGTCTTGGTCATTGACCTTTTTTGGAGAAGAAGAAGTAGCAGAGCAAATTTTGTCTTCTTACTGTGAAGGCAAACATAATTTTGTCCCTACCTTTGGAATGGGGTGTCTGCCATCTAGTCCAGGTCATTGACCTTTTACACAATTCTGTCCCTACCTTTGGAATGCTTGCGGACTGCTCCAGGTCGGAACAGAACTGGACCTTTGCCATCACAGTGTTACCCAACACCACAAGGTGTCTGCTACAGCACCAGTTACGACAAGACATCTGGTCCAGGTTATTAAATTCATGTTTGGAGAAGAAGAGGCATACGAACAACCAAAAGAATTCTGCCTGTACCTTTGGAATGCTTGCGGACTGCTCCAGGTCTGAGTAGAACTGGACCTTTGCCATCTCCACCAGGTTGGTGAGCATGACGATGCTGGCACTGCGCTCCTGCCAAGCCATGCGCCACAGGTCGGGCACGGTCTTGGTCTTCGGACCTGGAGTGCAAACAAGAATTTCAAATCATATTCACTCCTCACTGTTTACACTGTATAAATATTCGTCTTGGTAAATCAGCTTCATACAAAGCCTTGTACCATTTATGTTACGCCTTTCACAGTCCCATTACAAAAAGTCCCATTCTCAAAACGAAAAGAAGAAATCATAGATTTCAGACTTCTGGGATTTGTTTGGCATTTTTGTGACCTTCCTGTTCACACACCTTATTTGTATGATTCAGGTATTACACAGTACCCATACTACCCTGTGACTTTTCCTTACCCAGAAGTGAATGATTTTGTCCCAGTCTGCTTGAAATTCCATGCTATAGAAATCTTATGACGAGCTATGACGAATGTGCCTGCGCCAAAAGATATTTTATCCTTACCCTGTGTTGCGATGTATGCCCGCTTCTCCCTGTAACCCTGAAAAACAGTGACTCACATTAACTCAGAGCTCTCATAAAGCTCTTGATTTGTAACTTTGGCTGTAACACTTGAATTCACGTAAATTAATTAGAAACAGAGGAAAGTTTATAAAGTTTAACACAAGAAATAGAGCTTTCTTACATCACAATAGGTGGCATTGATGTAGTCGGAGCTGGGGTCATCCACTGTGGGCTCCAGGACAACCCGACTGGAGTCATCTGAAAATATAAAATTTTCCACTCCAAAGTATGAAATTATATCGTGTACAGTTTTCAGTGCTTAAAATAAATGTAGTTTTCTACGGAGCGGATTTCTGAGAAATCTTCTTAAAACAAAAACCAGATGTGCCAGACGCGCTGTCAAACGCAGTGCGATCTGATTGGTCCAGGCGACGTGGGACGCTTGGGCGAGATAGCGTCCCCTCTTATCTTACCCTCAGCCCACTTCAACCGCGAAACCCTTGCCACACGGCTGTTTACAAATTTTACTCTTTTCAAGCGATTTCAAGCAATTTTCTTCTCAAGCGATTCTACTTGGATTTTCGGTCGGTACCGAGCGGACGGAGAAACTTCTTGTTGAACTGAGCGGGAGTCAGGACTGCAAAACTTCGTTTCGTGTTGTTGGACCAACAAATACGCCGTGAATTCTCTCATTGGAGTGGGAGTTTTCAGTGCTTAAAATAAAAGCATAATGCAAGATTTTTTTCTTAAGATTATAAAAAAATGTCTGCTCACATGGAACGATGTTCCCGTATCTGTTCTTTGCCTTGTTCTCCTCCTTGAACGCCGTCTCCCATGATGATGTCTGGCCGTCTGGGAGGCTCTGGACAAAAACAGGACAAAACAATTACAGTCAAAACTTCCCAAGAAGATCACTAGTGCAGAAGACCAATAAAATCTGGTCTATGTGGACAGGCCGTCACTATATATGGTCATTATCTGAGTTTTCTAAGGGATGACGAAAAAGTGGTCAAATTGTCCAGGAACTGGCATTCGTTGTATACTTTGTCATAATTGTTGTCCTTGTGCATGTCTGAACCGTACATGTTCCTCAAACTCCTCTGACTTTGACAAGCAGACACACAAGACCACAGACACGCCCAACACAATACTTCCAGGTGTTTCCAAGAGCACTGAATCCCTTAGACTACGAACAAAACATGAAGCATGTACCGCATGTTCGAGCTTGAAGCCCTAGTTATTGTCCTTGGGCATGAGCCTTAAGTGTCACTACTCTGACTTTGACAAGCAGACACACAGGCTCACAGAGCCACCCAACACAATACTTCCAGGTGTTTTTAAGAGCACTGAATCCTTTCAACTACAAACATAACATAAAGCGTGTACCGCATGTTCAAGTTTGAATCCCTGGTTGCTGTCCTTGCGCATGAGCCATACATGTTCTGAGAAGAACTCCAGCTTGGGCAAGAAAACCCACCCAACACAATACCTCTGGGTGCTTCCAAGAGCACTGATTTCTTTAGACCAAAAACATAACAAACAGTCATGAAGTGTCTACCGCGTGTTCGAGCTTGAATCCCTGGTTGTTGTCCTTGCGCAGGAGGCGTACATGTTCTGGGAACTCCTCCAGCTTGAGCGGCGGGTACTGCCCCTCCGTGACTGGAAACGGAAATGGCACATGTCCCTCCTGCCGCGCTGCATCTGGTCATGTTTGGTATAAGACATAACGTTACATGTAGGAGTAACAATACTTTCAAAACAGAGATCCAAATTAATGTTTCAAACAATTAGAATCACAATATGTTCCTTCACCAGAAACATAAATGGCATGTGTCCCTCCTGCCTTGCTGCATCTGGATCATTCCATCCAATTTTGGTGGAAAAGACAGGGTTAAGAGACAAGATACGTTGAGGAGGGTTAGATAATATCCATATAATGACATAATTGTGAAAACTGTCACTCAAGCAACTGGAAACGTAAATGGCACGTGTCCCTCCAGCCTCGCTGCATCTGGATTTGTCCATTCAAGTTTGAAAAACAAAGACTTAACTGGAAAGGCAACATTTGCAAAGCAAATACATAATGTGCTGTAGCACAGGGAGTTGCTAAAACACAAGTTACCATGGTGAGATGACTGAGATGTCTGGTCTAGGTCATTGACTTTGTTTGTTTAGAGAAGAAGCGGAAGAAGAAGAAACTAAGCAAAAGTAATATATTTTCCTTCTGCGAAGGTAAACATAAATAGTTGAGATATGTCGAGGAAGGTTAGACATCCAGTTAATGAGAATGATGATATACAAGAACACTGTTACTCAAGCAACTGCAGTGGATCGATTTTAAAACTGTCAGACATTTCAAGTAGCATCTGTTCAACTAGAGACTTTGTTAGTCACTGACAAAAAGTAGTGGATAAGACCCGTAATGTCTGACAGTTTTCAAACCTATCCAATTGCTTCTGAATCAGTACAAGTTTGTGTAATAATTGAGATAAAAATTGAAAATCAATGTTTTGGCATATTCATAATCACAATATGTTGATTGCTACAGTCAAATGAATTGTGTAGTGCTAATAGTTAGCATTAAGAAGTGCATACTTCGTGTTGAAAAGAAATTCTTACCCTGTGCTTTTGCCACTGGAGATAGACAGACCGCCTCTTTTGCTGCCACATCAAGCGTTCCCTGTCTTTTCCGTCTGCAAAAGAACAAATTGCCCCATTCAAATGACTGACAGTGAACAGTGGTTATCTACCAATGACTCTACTTTTACATTCCAGGTTTGCAATGCTTTATCATAAGGAAAGATGGCTTAAATGTGGCAATTTCCATGCATTTTCCATATTTATGGTGTAAAGGGGCTCTTTCCATGGTGCTGAAAAGCTTATAGTTGTTTCCATCCTAACTTCACTTCCCAAAGTGGGTGACTATTCATGTAACCCATTGACATATAGTTATAAGGGCAAGCAAGGAATTCCATGAATCATTTGCATCATGTCTAGACTGGATAAAAGCTATGGTATGGTAATTATGCTGTCACATTTCTAACATGAATGTAGAGGGGATTCATTCCTCAAGCTAATCTTCCACACTTCCCTCAGTAAGACATCTGAGTCGCAAATATGTAGTTCTCATTTAGAACTTTTATTCAGCCCTTAATGATTGGTTTTGCCCTGTGGGCTTCTTCAAGTGTACAGAGGCTAAACGAAATTTTCTTTTCGAAAGAAAGTTCATCTGTGTTGGTAGAATCCATAGTTATAGAGTTCAAGCTTTGTTCCAATTCAAGAACGGAACTCACTGTAAATTGAGTTGGAACAAAGCTTTAACAGTATAAATGTGAAAGTTTCTTTTACTTACCTTGTCACATACACAGCAAGTAGGATCATTAGGAAGAGAATGAGAAGAAGCAGGACAGCCACAAAGATGGCAATCATCAAGGAAGAGTTGTCGGCAGCCTTCTGTACTGTTGGACCGTCAGCACCAGGGTTTTGGGAAACTGTGAAAGATTCCCCAAAATGATTACATGGATGCATCAATATGTTTTGTATCATGAAAGCTCATCTGTGTTGGTAATAATCATAGTAAAAAGTTGAACTCTATTCCAACACACAGTTTACGTTCACGTTGTGAAGTGATTGGTCATTAATTATCCTGATGAAGGTGACAGTGGTCGCTGAAAATTTGATTTCTCTTTAAACTGTGTGTTGGAATGAAGTTCAACTTTTCACTATAATATGTTTTGTATACATTTTCAACTATTGCAACATGATTGTCCAGTATATTGGTACACATTCTGACCATGACTGGACGCCATTAGTCAGGCTTATACCAGTAACATCAATCTAGTAATCACAAATGGATCAAAAGTAATAAGAATACTATTGTACTGCACCTATTATGGGACGCTGAGTTTCTGAGAAGGACATCAGCTTTTCCTGTTGTAAAAGTAAGAAATGAAACTATAAATGAAATGATAGCGGTAGCTGTACATTTATGGATATCTATAGTATTACATGTAGGGATAATACAAATTTAAACATTTGTCCACTTTTTAAATCAAATGTGCATGTATCAAGACTGAAAAGCACATGTTGATCATTTCAAATTCTGAACAGGTAGATATTAAATTGACAGCCTCTTTGGCAGGAAAGCGATGAAGGGAAAGAAGAATGCCTGGCTAAACTAAACTTTCACATGAACAAATCATAACATAAGATAGTTTCTACTAACATACCCCATCCAGTTCGCTCGCCACTCCGTATATGAAAGAGTACTTCTCCCCCTCCACCAGTGGCGCATTCCAGTACCCGCCGTAGGTCTTGTTGTCCCCGACAACAAACATCTTTTTCTCCTGGACCTGTCCGTGAATATTTGTTCGTTTATTCGTTTATTTTGGTACCCTTTAGTCAATGACTAGTCTTCCAGGGTTCAAAACTTATAAACATACTGACAACAAAACTAAAAGAGAATTATCACAATTATCACAAATTATAAACAGGTTAAACAAACCGATAATGAATTAACTTAATATATACAACCTAACTTATGTACAACTGGTGGACGGCCTTTTTGAATTGATGTGGACTGGTCAGTGTTTTGATACTGGGTGGCAGGGTGAATAGTTTCATCAGGTTGGTAAGTCACTGAGTAAAGAGACTCTTTTCACACAACCAAGTCTTTTATTCAGCCAACGTTTCGATGACCGTCTGTCATCTCCTCACGGCGATTCTGACTGGTTCACACAGGAGTCGCTGCTATAGATGCACTCCCAAATGTACAATATTTCTATGGCAATCACTCGTGATATTTATTTGTAATCGGATACAGATTCATGTACAGAATCTGATACATAGTCATGCACAGATACAGATTCTTGTACCAATATGCAGATACAGACTTTCCAAGTACAATGACCGTGTCAGTCCCTACACCTGAGTGAGGGTCACAGTTGACACGGTGGCCTTTGCCATATTTACATCTACACAATCATACTGATGTGACTTGGTTGAGTAGAAAGAGTCTCTTAACTCTCCCTGACCTGATCAGGAGTGAACATGGCCGTGATGTAGAAGGGTTTTCCCTGGTGGGAGGCCTGGTGATAGTCCAGCATGTCGTTCTGGTTGTCAAGGAACCTCAGCTCATTGTTGCTTTGGACAACCACATAGTAGGCACTGGAGAGGAAACACACAAGACGAAAAGTTTTAATACATGTGTACAATTTGTTATGCTATACATGAATTAGATTTCCTACTACAAAGCGCCAAATGTAACCCCCTAATGCTTACATGTACAATTTTCAGTAAGAAATCGGAAATTTCAGACTTCTGGGAAGTGTTTGGGGTTTTTGTAAATTCATTGGAACAATCAAGGTGATGATATGACTATTAGCACTTCCTGCTGGCTTCCAGCCAGATTTACTCTTACTATCTCTACTGTCTGACCTGTCATTCTGCCTGTCAATCTTCCCTCCCCCCCACGTGCTGTCAACCTACATGTACCATCTCTGGACACAAAACACACAAACTCACAATGCAGCCACTCAAAACAATACTTCCATTCCCAGAAGTAATCATAGATAAACTCTGTCAGCTATCCAATGCACCAACACCTACAGATTTTCTTTTTTTCCCTGTACCGTTCCACAGTGGAACTCCTTACCCGGCCTGGTAGTTATGGCTCCCAATGTTGAGTCGTTCCGGGCTGGGCTGGCGGCCTGCCCGCCTTAGCCTTGACCTCCTCTCCCCCCCTAACGGCACCCCTCGCTGGGTTATTTGGGGGTATCAAAGACGAAGTATCTTGAATTGTTTTACCTGATTGGTCCATTTTTGGGGAGTACAGGTTTGAGTTCCAGGGAAACAGTGTTGTCCTTTGCCTCTCCCACTGGGAGTGGCGCCTCTGGGGTTGGTGGTTCTGAGTTTCAGGATAGGAAAATGGATTATCAATATGAACCATAACCATCTTAAGTAAGATTAGTTTAGAAGTAATGTTGCATTAGAATGGCTGTTATAACCTCCATTAACATTTGTCCTTATTTAGGGCTACATGTATCTCCTACTTTGGGAGATCTCTAGTGCAATAGCATCCAATGTGTGTACAGTTTAGATATAACATTACATTTTATTGGATGAAGTTTCATTGAAGATCTTTTTTGCACCCCCTTTTGGGCTTTTCACTAGAGGTTGTGTCCACTGAGTGAACAAAAATTGACATATCGGTATCACTTATAAATTTCATGAGCAATAACAGAAATAGACAGTTTATTGCAAATACATGCCCGAGGGCTAATTGCAGTTACAAACAACATTAGGAAAGAAAATACAATAGTATGTGAGACTATATCTGCGTCCGTAACATTATACTATATTCTACAACATACATGGTACAAGCTATAGTTTTACTGGGTTTGACTTCTTCTTTTTAGGCAATGGAAGATGATGACTGTTAAGCAGAGAGAGGACTCAGATGCACCTTTCATGGTGGCCTGGCAGAATCTTGTTAAACTGACGTTACGGCTAGCTTGGTAAGCCTACCTGCTATGGTGGTACTACAGTTTTGGGACGCTGTGTCTCCGTAGCCCTTCTTCGTCCGTGCCCTTATAGTCACGGTGTAGTCTGTGCCGGAATAAAGACCCTCAAACACGTGGTGAAACTCTGTAGACAGCTTCTCTACCGGATACACGTCCTTAGAGGGGTCGTAATCTGGGTCATGGGAGGCAAGCCCCTTGCAACTGACCTGTCAGAGCAAGAGAGTTATATGTTGTTAAATTATTGTTTCTGCATAAAAGATATCATATGGTATCCTGTTGTTGGAATCACTCGGAAACGGTTGATACATTGTACTTCTGAACCTATTAGTCTAAGTCCCTAACCAGCTTAAGAGGTTGTATTATTTATAACAAAGTTTATGTATAATAATATTTCACATGATTCTGTCTGTACACATGAATAAAAAACACAAATAGCAATGAATAAATAACATCTGGGGTCTCCATAGCAGTCTTTTTGATGATTGAAAGCTTTTTATGTATGTTAGTCACAACACCAGAACGAGAGTCCCACGTGCTAAAATACAAACTAAGACATAGTCCAATTGCAGTTTATGGTTGTATTGCTGCTAATATACACCAAGAACAATACCTAGCCTGGTTGCAGTTTTGTGCAGTGCTTACCTTGTACCCCTGTATGACCCCGTTAGGCTGTAGAGGAGGCTTCCATTGCACCACGATGCTGTTCTTTGTTGTTGTCACAGTCAGGGCATGGGGCATGCCAGGAACTAATGAAATACAAAAAAAATCTTAGACCTCTGTTTTTTAATGGAACAATGCAATTGCATAGCCTGGTTACCAGACCTAATTTAGCTCTCGAGTCTTTTCCCTCTCCGCAAATAGTCATCACCTAAGGGACTCAAAGAGAGGGAAAAGTCTCGGGACCTAAAATAGGTCTGGTAAGCAGGCCAGCAATTGCATTCAGTGTCAGACTGTTACCTTAATTCAACAAATTTAGAAAAAATTGATGAAATATTCTTTGCTGATGTAGTTTTTAAAAGACAGAGATACAACATAATAAGTTTGTTTTTATCTTACCTCCCTCATCAGTTTGTGCAGTGACTTGGGTGCTGAACGGCCCCTTCCCAGCTGCAGTAACACCTCGTACCTGTTTTGCCGGATAATAGAACGGCACAACTATTATCTATGGGCCAAACATATAATAGCACTTTTTACATCATTTATGTCAGCCATCTGACAACTGGTCAGATACCTGATAATATTACCATCATCTGAACAATGTCCTGAACAAGAAATCAGAGATATCACACTTAAGGGAAGAACTTGGGGGTTTTCGTAACTCTCCAGTTCATAGACCTCCTTCGTACATTTTTGTATGATAAAATTTAATCAGGCACTTCACAAATTCCTGTACCTCCCACTTAATCCCACCAGACTGTACCACTTATCAATCAACTGTCAAAATCACCTCCCACTCACCATACAACAAAAGACAACCCCACAAATCAGCCACCCAAAACAATACACCTTCTTCTTCTTCTTTACCCTCTATTAACCTCCCCTAAATGGGGTATCACTGAGGGGGGGACACTAGAAGTATAAAGAACCTACCCGAATGGAATAGTTTGTATATGGTGCCAGGTCCCGTATGACCAGTCTGTTCTTCCTGTCTGCAGCCCGGATGATCTTTGAGGTGTTGAGCGACTCGCCCTCCTTCTGTACCTCTATGGCGTAGCGCAGGATGATACCATGTGGCGGGGAGGGGGGGTTCCAGGCGATGGTGGCTGTCGTGGCAGAGGTGAAGGCAACGCGCAGATCTTGTGGAGCAGGCGGCTCTAGAAAAGAAAGATAGGGTAAATTTCCCAAAAATAATTTCATCAGGTTGGTAGAACTTAGGAGACAGGTATTTCTTTTTGCACAACTGGTAAATTCTCACCTTGCTGACATTTCGGTGTCTGTCAGACACCAAAACGTCAGCAAGGTGAGAATTTACCGGTTGTGCAAAAAGAAATACCTGTCTCCTAAGATAGGGTAAAGTTAGTCTCCGTAGCAGGCTTATAGAACGGGGGGTTTGGTGGTCTTCGGCTGTTTTCTGATTAGCCTCCGTAGCAGGCTTATAGAACTGGGGGTTTGGTGGTCTTCGGCTGTTTTCTGATTAGCCTCCGTAGCAGGCTTATATAGAACTGGGGGTTTGGTGGTCTTCGGCTGTTTTCTGATTAGCCCAATTCTTTAAGAAATGGGGGTAATTCAACCAGGCCGGCTATGTTGTCAATATGTTATCAGAAGCTTCCAAAGACCATGAAGACCCCCAAAGCCCCAGTTTTTGGCATGCTATGGAGGCTAGGGTAAAGTACATGTAGTCCCATGGCCTTTTTGAGCTCGTAGTGGCAGAACCGCAGTGCCAGAGACTGTCATTCATGCATGATTCTTAAATAGCCAAAGCAGATGCTGTAGGGCTGACGTGATGACTTGAAATAGGATTTTTGTTACCATGGTCAATATTGATGATATGGAGGCCATATACACTGTACAACTGTACATGCATTGAGGTGGTAGAGCCCATCTCTCCTTCCACCGCTTTTTACCTCCCTAAGTCAGGTACTAGCTACCCATTTTACATTTGGGTGGAGTGAGGAATGTCATGTTATTTTGTCTTATGTACTTTGTATAATCTATGATTCTTTTACATAATGTATTCCCCCTGGGCCTCCTTGGAAATCAGCTATTGGCTGAAGGAGCTACCCAGGTGTCAATGAAGATTAAATAAATGTAAAATGAATTTCCCAAAGACACAATGTCATGTCACTAGCCTAGCCGTTTGGCCAGCCAAACGGAAAATAAAAAATGCATCAGGAGTTACATTTAGAGTGATCAAGTAAAACTGAATGTCAAGCTTAAAAGATTGAACGTCAGTGACAATAACACTTACTGTCCTCTGCTGTCCGTATGCTCACAGCGTCTGAGAATGGCCCGGGTCCTGCATTGGTGAACCCTCGGACTCTGAAGTAGTAATCAGTGTACGGAATCAGACCGGTGAACTTTTGTGTGTAGGTTGTTGCGGAGGTGTTCCCCAACAGCCACTCGGAGATCGACGTAGCATTCTGCCGTACCAACACGTACTCGTACATGGTGATTTCCCCGTTCTTCTGGTCGCACAGTGGTGGTAGGAAGGTGAAGACTACGGATGTCGGTGTCACCTGGCTGTGTAGGATGTTTGACGGTGGTCCTGTTGGAGCTGAAAAAAATGACACAGGAAATTGTCTTTTATCTTGCTGGGAAACGACTGGTATTTTGCTTAATGATTAGAAGAAATCAAATATTTTAGACATCTGGGAAGACTTTGAGATTTCTGTACCATGTATTCAGTATAGCCGGTATAACTGCCCTTTGGCACAACACACCAGCTATTTGGGCAATTTATGTATTGGGACTGTGGAGGGGATTGCATTACATAATCAAATCTGGTGTCAAACACAAAGTTGTAACCTCTTCCTAAATTCCTCCAAGTACTGTGCTGGGTCACCTTCAGTCTTTAAGCCTCCCTGCCAATCAAGTAACTTAAAATATCTAGTACCCACTCTCCCTGCAATCTGCTATGCTGGACAAGTACATGTATATACACAAACCCACAGACAAGCCAAACCCGATCTTTGTTCACAGAGGAAAGGACTGTAAATTAAGAGATTCAATCTTATGTATGTTTTGAATCCTCCTTGCAGGAATCGGTTGCTTGGTGCTTACCAGTTTCTCCTGTCCTGGTTTCGATCTCGGTGACTTCACTGAAGCCCGCTTTTGTCCTGGACCGCACAGATATGCCATACAGTGTGTACGGCGTCAGTCCTGACATCCTGTACTCTGTAACACTGGGAGAAAAGAAAGTAGTGAGTTGAATCCTCCATTTAACCTATCATTTGCTAATACTTAAGCAACTGTATAGATTTCAGAAACAGATGTTTCAGATAGCATCCTCTACCTTTCCTCAGTGACACTTGAGAGTTGTCAGAAAGGCAGGTTTAAAGAAAACTCTTCACTGTCACAGACAAAAGGTAACATCTAACCGTTTCTAAAATCTATCCAGTTGCATCAGTAACTGTTTTTTTTGGCGTATCTTATTACCTGTATGTCTAACCATTACCGACATTTAAGGCTTAATCTGTTTGACGCTTTAACATTATGGCAAATTAACCTACAAACACAAGCAAATACATTGTACAAACACATCCAAAACAATACCTCAGAACAGAATCAGAAAGAGACTGAACATAGTTACATACCTTGCATTTGGTATTCTATATATGGTGACGAAGGAAACAGAGAGTGGGCAGGCCCCCTTCGTCTTGCTTTGGTACGTGACTTCGTAAGCGGAGACTTTGTCAGGGTTGAGGAGGGGCTTTTCCCAGCGTACAACGATGGAAGTCGTGGTCACGTCCACAGCCGTCAGGTTCATAACAGGGCCTGGAGCTGAGTAGACAGGGAGCAGGTAAAAAAAGTGACATCTTTTTTGGTAAAATCCATGATTTTTTAAACCATATACCCATGCAGCCAAAAAATATCTTTGCTTAAAAGTTGTTAGTCAAGCAATTGGATAGATTTGAGAAACAAAAATGGTACAGTGACTGTACCAGTTGTTTGAGTTAAACAGTTAATAAAATATCTGTTGTATCTCACTGCCTGGTTGTTTAACCCTTATTGATGTATATCTTTGTACGTTATGATAAAGAACTTAAAAGTTAGAAATATCATCACCTACCACTTTCATCAGTGAATGCTGTCACTCGTGCATTGGGGCTCATTCCAACACTGTTAAATGCCTTGATCTAAGGAAAAGCATGTAACACTAATTACGGACCATTCTGTAGTAGACAATTTGAGAAGAGTCTTAGCTACAACAACATTTACCAAAACACTACACTCTAGATCTATACATTCACTAAGAAAGGTTCACTATGAAAATCTGCACACCAATGTTATCAGTTGCCTAGAGCCATTGAAATTCTGTTTCTTTTTAAATTGAGGCAACCAAGTCATTGTCAATGAGACAGATGTAACAATTTTATAAGTTCTTTCATGTCACTAGCATCTATACACTTGAAGAAGCCACACAGGCAAAACCGGTCGTGTGACAGGCTGAATAAAAGTTCTAA